GCTGACAGTGTGAAAACTAGCGGTGGTTGAAGGTTGACGCCATTGAGACTTTTGATCAGTACCTCATAAAGAATATTTTCGCATAGATTATTTCTATTTTAACCGGGGCCACTTTTCCATATGATTAGTGCGTGGTCCTTTTACAATTGGTGAAATTTATGTTAGATACTTGAACAAAACAAAAGTATGCATGATATTACAAAAATGCAATAAAGAAATAATTAATTTATACTGTTGTAGACTGTCTTATATAGTGAAAATTGCATGGATAAAGCTATGCTCTATAAATATATTCCTCTGGTGGGTAAAATGGGATTACTTACTGCTCCTGGTAAGACATATGCAAGAATAAAACACTAAATTAATTACTGATTTGGAACTATGTAATTACTTTTATTGTTAGTAATTTAAAAAATAATTAAATATGTATGTATTATTTTCTAATGACCATTTATATCTTATGCTATACCTATAATATATTTATAATATTGAACTCTATTATAAATAATAATATGGATATTAACATTTATTTTAATGTCACATCTTATGTATTTTATTATTAACTCCTAATAGACATTTATATATAATAGTTCTAAGTGTTTATAAAACGTCACAAATTTGTTGGCACTTTCCTTTTTATTAATTTTCCTAATATTAATCCAGTTTTAAAATTATGATACTATTTATTATATTTTTTTTACATAATTCTCAATTATAATTATTTCAGTACCCGCATGGAATCGATTAAGAAAAATGACTGGACCAACATTTAGTTCAGATATGTTGCAAGGTTTCTTTAATACGTTTGTAGAACAATCTATAAGACTTACAGATGATTTGGAAAAAGTTGGATTAAATGGAAACGAAATTATCTACGTAGATCATGTAGCAAGTTGTGTTTTTAGAATTGCATGTGGTAAGACTATATAATAGAATATATTTGCAAATTAATATATTTTATAAATATACTATAATTGCATGTAAAAAATTATAAGTTGTTCATGTGTTAACAATATTTTTATTTTAAACATTTTAAAACATTTTTATTTTACCGAAGAAAACGCATTAAAAAAATGTTTTAAACAAAAGTTGTATGGTCCAGAGAAAAACAAATAATAGCAAAATTGCCGCCAATCGTGCGTGCGTATACTATAGGTACAAGGTGTCCGTAAAATGTTACCACCCTTTTTATTTGGAAACGGCTTTAGATGCAAAAAAATGTTTCAACCAAAAGTTGTTTGACTTTAAGAAATGCATAAAATGCAACTAACATTGGTTTGATCTTGGGTGGCGATATCAAGGTCAAGAAAAAGTTACTTCAATTTTTTAAATGGAACCCCCCATTTCTTATTACATATTTTTGTAACTTATCTTGAGTATGGATCTAGGAATACATAAACGGAGTCTTTTATGAGGGGAAAGTGATAATAGCGGTAAGGGGGCAATTCCACAGGCGTAGGAATACTACGCTGACTTTGACTAATTCCGTAAGCGTAGCTCGGAAGTGTTCGGTATAATAGTGTTCTGTCACTGTTCTGTGGAAGCGTCTTCTCTCTCTGCACGCGTCGAATATTACCAAACGTAACCGAAATGTACCGAAGTGATTTGATTCCACGTGACCCACGTAATCTCTTTACATCGATATCACTATCCCCCTCGCCTATCTAACCAGTTTACTCACCGTCCATATATTCCTACGTCAATGATCTCGAAAGTTTTCCAAGACACATAGATAAAATGTTTCAATTTGTTAGAAACAACGCAGCGTATGATCTTGTAAGGATTATTTCAAAGAGATCAAAGTAACAGTTCACTACAATATTTCTAGTACAAATATAACTGAGATCCGCATAACGACGCATCACAAAGAGAAGTGAGGCTACGGGCGCGCATGGACACCGCTATAACACAATAAACGAAAAATAATGCCATCTACACAATGTGCCCGACTGTCGCGCTCCTATAGCATAGATAACGCAAACGTCTCGAGATCGTATATCTACACGATTAATTAAATATTGAGTTATGAATCTTGAATGTTTGCAGTACCGTCGGCATTAGCATTATCCATGAAGTAAAAATAAGGAGAATAAGGAGGAACTAGATAGGCTAGAGGGAAAAAAGTTGAGCACGAAAAATGTTCCGTGTCAATATGGCGACAAAATGTTGCCAGTTATTCCGTTCAGCAAACCTGGCAGTACACGAAACACTTTTTGTGCTCACTTCCAATTTATGGAGTTACGTTTTCTTATTCATACTTCATGGCATTATCCAATGTGTCCGAATACTGGCTGGAATCTTTTAAATGTTCAGGATCATGATCTTAACAATAAATGTCAAGATCAAGGCCATTAAAGGTTGTTACTTTTATTTTTATTTTTTGAAAAAAAAAACAATCTTCAATGGTTATGACTTATGATCTTCACATGTTTTATCAAAGTCATGATCCTGAACAACATTCAAAAGATTTTAGCCTGTGTTCGGACATCTTGGATAACGCTAATACTGATGATACTGCAACTTAATTTCAAGCCTCATAACTCAATATTTACCTAATCAAAACATATTTTATCTATATATTTTAGAAAGCTTTTGAGATAAGCTACAAGAATATGTAGTAAAAAATGGGGGCTTCTATTAAAAAAATTTAAAGTGACTTTTTCCTGACCTTGACAACGTTACTCAAGGTCAAACCAATGGTACCATTTTATCTCTCTTAGTACCACTTACAAGGAAAGTTTGCGAACCCGAAAATTCAGAAAAATCTGAAACTTGGTGTAAAAGTAGAGCAGTTTATCCGTAGCATGAAACTATTTTTCGTTGGTGCTCAAATCCGCTTTGAAGGGATGAAACCACTCCTTGAAAAAAATTGGTTTTTCTCTTCTGACGTGAATATCGTCGAAACTATGAAAGATAGAGAAAAATGTTTCAGATCAAAGTTAAATGACTTGAAGTGAACTTTATGATAGTAGTAAAACAAATTAAAAAAAATTTTTTTTAATGTTTTCCCCACCACTTTACTTTTTTTTTAATTTAAAAATTTTTTTTGTGACCAAGTTAAAGATTATTTTAATACGAATTCAACCATGTGTAATAAAGTTACTTTCCAAAATATTATTTTCGAGAAATAATTTCAAATGCCTCTATATGCGCACACCATCCGTACTCCCTTACGCTGCGCGCACTCAGCAATTCTTCACGCAGCACGTTCTGCTCGCATTTTTGCATTTAACAAGATTTCGGGTTCGCAAACTTCCCTTGTTAGTCCCCCTTAAGATCAAACAACTTTTGGATAAAACATATTTTGTATCTAAAGCCATTTCCAAATAAAAAAGGTGGTAACTGACTTTACGGATACTCTCTATATGACATTGCCTCAGAGTTTCTACATTAGAAATAATTAGCTTCTAGCTTCAATCCTTCATGGTTAAAAAATAACATATTAAAATGAAAAAGAATGCATTTTATTAGTATTACAATATATTTTGAATGGAATTTTAAATTAACAAATATCGTCAAAAAAGTTCATTTTTATACATTAAACTTCAATTATTTTAGAAACCTGACATTGATGGACAACTTTGGTATTGTTTTCAGCATCCAAAAATTATAAGAAATACGTAGTTCAGTTTAAAATAACAAAAAAATAACATTTTTTTGTAAACTAGTATTATTTTATATATGATAACGTACATAACAAAATATTATTTTTAGTTTTAAAACTATCATTCATAAGTAATGTAAAATGTTTTGTCATACCTACTTATAGGCGAGTGATTTGACGCGCGTATCACGCGTTATTTGAAAAATAACTAGATTAAGTATACTAAAACACAAATAATCGGTCCATTCGTCCAGACGTCGATTCGATATCTATGGACATCGAATCAATGTTCAGAAACGTCGAATCGAGATCTATGGACCGATCATTTTTGCCTGGGCAGTGACTAATTCTAGCACTGTTGCGCTTGACGCGTTTACAGTTGAATTTATTCAATTGCAAAAGCGTCATCACATTTGTCGCCAGTGTTTAAAAGTTTATCATGCCCTAGTGAGGACCAAAAATTATAATTGTTTCCTACTAATAAACATTATTATAAATTATGACGCGCTTATGAGTAGGTACCTTAAAGCAATGCTGGAAAAATTTGTACGAGGTCGATAAAGCACTCTTCAGTGTCAGTGGTATCTGTCAATGAACTTCTTACAATCTTCTGTCTCACTCAAACACGTGGAATGTCCTTATCTAACTTATTGAAGTGCCATCTCTTGGAAAACGGCATTACTGCCAAACGTAATTTTTGCTGTCCTTACCTTAGCCGAGCGTACAAATTATCACAAATTGCATTTTAGGGATAATCGTTTTTCTACGCTTCCAATCGTAGCTCAAAAGATCGTGTATTATTCGTGCAAGTAATCCAATGCGCGCGAACTACATTTTTTGTACATATGAGCTACAGAACTTTTGTACCAATGAAATGTTTACGTCAGGTGAGAGGTTATGATAGTTGCACGACAAAAAGATAATATTTTCATATTTTTTTCGTTTTTACTACAAATTTATAATTTGCGCGTTTACATTTTATCTCTATTTCAATCCTGTGAAAGCGTCAAAGCGTGAAAGCGTTGTTTCATATTTGTTCAGTTGTTTCGGAATTATTATTTAAAATGCAAATGTCGGTAATTTTTACCTTCCAGCTTAGAACATATATTACTGGAAGGAGAATAGAGTGTTGAACGTGAAGCCAACATCTGTGCGAGAGAGAAAGGTATAGATTTCCAATTGTCTGTAATGCGCATGTGCCATTCAATCCTCACTCAGCCCGTTTTACTAATTTCTTATTTTTCGAAAATCTTTAAAAAAAAAATGAAAAACGGGACTAGGTGGGAGCTGAATGGCACATGCGCATTACAGACAATTGGGAATCTATACCTTTCTCTCTTGCACAGATGTTAGCTTCAGCTCGATGTATGGACGGTATAGACAATTCTCCTTCCAGTAATATATGTTCTAAGCCTTCCAGCCAGTTTAGTAAATTTCTCCTGAATTGACTGAAAGGAATTGAAAATCCTTTTAGAGAATTAAAATAGACATAAATTAAAATTGTGATGTGAGACGAACGAATTTGTAGTAAAATCGGAAAAAAATTAAAAAATTACATTTTTTTGGGTCATACAGCTGACACCTGACATAAACATTTTATTAGTATAAAAGTTCTGCAGCTTATATGTATGTATAAAATGCTTACGTTTCACACCACAGATTACATGAACAAATAATACAAAGCCTTTTAATCTACGACTGAAAGCGTAGAAAAAAAGATATCCACTAAACTGTAATTTATGGTAATTCGGAGGTTTAATTAATTGTAAGATAGGAATGGTAAACAAAACGTCTAGCAGTAAGGTGCCTTTTCATACGCAGCACGCAGTAGCAGCAAAATGTCACGTGATTTAAATTTTTCAGAATTGTTTCCACCGCATTTGTTGCGCATGAAAAGGAATTTTGCAGCAATATATTGAAGTTTAACCTTAATTTATAATATAATATAAATATAAGTATATATATAAATAGCGATATATCTATTGAGTGTATCTATATTGTATAATTGCATTTTAACGTATCTTATTATATTGACAATTAAATAACTCTGCTCTGGCTCATAGCTCATTATTTTATTTATTAATAATCAATAATTTTTTAAATTACAATACAAGATCACTTTATAATAACCAAGTTTAAAAAGTTATAATTGCGGTTTATCATTTACGTTTTTGATGTCGATAGATTGAAGATGATCTCATTCGCGCGTATACTGCATATATTAGACCTATTAGGACTTATTAAAAATAAATTAATCAAAAACATGTTTCCGTACTTCTTCCGCAATTTTTCATTATTATTTATTTTATGTTGTATATCACATCACGAGTTATATTTTCTATTATTATATATATCACAAGTTTAAAACACATGGCTTGCACACGGCTGACACGGCTTTTTCGGCTTTGCTGCTCATTCGTTTTTGTTCGTTTGGTTGAACTTCAATAAGATGCGGCAAAATGTATTTTACGCCGGAAGTGCGTCATCTAATTGTAAGTAACATTTTTAACCAATAGTAATGAATTGCTGCGACTGCACACTGTGCATGAAATGGCACCTTAAGAGCCGGATTTTCCAAGAGATGGCACTTCAATAAGTTAGATAAAGAGAATCCACGTTTTTGAGTGAGACCAGATATTGTAAGAAGTTCATTTAAAGATACCACTGACACTGAAGAGTATCTGCTTTATTGACCTCGTGCAAATTTTTCCGATCTTCCAGCATCGCCTTAATATCTATGTGTGAATCTTAAAACTTCCAACTAATAAATTTTTTTTACGTGGTGTTATATTAGATTCTCTAATGGGTATTCAGTTGGAACCAAACAAAAATCATCAATTTGTTTCACTAATTGAAAGGTATATAATATTTTCTTCTCATTCTAAATATTCGCGATCATGATGTAAATCATGTAACTATCATAAATCTATTTAGAAATATAATTTTTATATCTTTTTCTAATAAATTATATTAAATAAGTTTTTGTTTATTAATACATTTAAAGTTCCATTTTTGTTATAAATAAATCAATAAATTACAGTGTAAAAAGAAGCAATAT